TTTAAGGGTTAAACGCTCTTAGTCCCAAAGTGTTCACCAGGCTTTAAGGTACACACATATTTTATGGTATGGTGTCTAATAGTATATTTTCTAAATCTCTAGTTTTGTTTTGTTTTTTTAAGAACTACTGTAGTGTGTTCACTTAGAACCCCCCAAAGAAGTTGGAGAAGAAAATATAAAAGATAAAAGAAATGTAATAGTGTTTTCTGCTTCTTAAAATCACATAAACTGTAACAAGAATAGAATAAAAGACTCTTAAGAGTAGCAAAAGGTTTTGACTCTTGTGGGATTATTTCTTAAGACTTCTGCTTGCAAATTGTTAGGTAACTGCACTACTTAGATTTTAACACTCTTCAAAACATCCTCCTTAGGACATGAGTCCTTGCATCATACATTCCATATAAAAATTGCAACATTTTATTACTATAATTGTTGCTTAGAAGCTGTTCTGGATTGAGATTTCTTGTTATATATGGATGTGTTTACTACCAACAATCTTAGCCCCTGTTTTTCTCCAAACAATACTTAGCCAAAGGAGCATATTTTCACAAAGCCATATCCTTATTTTTGTAGTTTTTGCATCTCCATAAAAAAACAAAAACAATTCTGGAACCTACTCAGTTATCTTTCCCTTTTTGTTTAGAGTTTTACTGTATTTAATTCAGCACCCAGAAAATTACTTAGTAGGGTTACAATAAATTGTAACAAATGACTCATTGTGAGCTCAACACTTCCTATATAACACGGTTATATAGGGAATACAAGTCTCTATTTAGAATTGAAACACTTATAATTTTATAGGAGCAAAATTTCCCTAGATAGCAAAAGTTCCTTTGAAAGAGAATTTAATGCAATTTTGTAAGCTTTTTACATGTAGTATGGAGATTATTATTGCTATCATATTATTATTAGCAACAGCAGCTGCAACAGTAGAACATCAGTAGCTAAGTCATGCTAAGTGTTCTTCCCATGTTATCTCTCATGCAATCTTTCCATTGACCCTATTAGGTAGATGCTATTGTTGTGCCTATATTTATGAATGAGGAAATTGAGCTCAGAGAGATTAAGTAATGTGTTCAACATCACATGGTTAATAGGTGGTAGAACTATGATATGAATTCAATTAGTTAAGATTTGAACTTGGCACTTCTAATGCAAAAAACATGAGTTTGACTTTATCCTCTTCAAAATTCCTACTGAAATGACCAAAAGGACATTTAAAAAGGGAAGAAGGGGGATCCCTGGGTGGCGCAGCGGTTTGGCGCCTGCCTTTGGCCCAGGGCGTGATCCTGGAGACCCCGGATCGAATCCCACGTCGGGCTCCCGGTGCATGGAGCCTGCTTCTCCCTCTGCCTGTGTCTCTGCCTCTCTCTCTCTGTGTGTGTGTGTGTGACTATCATAAAATAAAAATTAAAAAAAAAAAAAGGGGAAGAAGGAAGGGAAAGAGGGAAAAGAAAGGAGAATTGGTATCTGCAGTACCAAGTGGGGATGATCACCATCCTCATGCTAGAAAAACACTGGAGGTTTTTGTTCAATATGAAATTCAGGCAAGGCCAAGTTGGGGTAAGGGCCTACCAACTTGAGTACTGTGTATATATGAAAGCCCACCTAAAGAGTGAGTAAAGGAAGCATCTTTTATTTATAGTATACTGAAAGTGTTAATTTTATCAAATACTTTTTTTAGCATCAATATATTTAGATAATCCTATAGTTTTCTCATTTGACTTAATGTGCTAAATTATATTAATAGAATTCCTAAATATTCATTCGTTCATTAATAGAATTCCTTAATATACATTCATAGTTATAAAGTATGGCAGTTCACTCTGCAGAACCCAGGAACAACTCAGCTCAGGGACTGGAATTACCAAGTACCCCAGAAAGCAGAGGAAAAAACTTGAAATATCCTTTGTCTTCCTTTAGGATTAGAATTAATTTGGAACTAAGTATGTTGTTTGCAAGTTAATACTTGTTCTGTGAACCAATTATTTCTAATGCAACCAGTATACTTAAATTGATACTTTGTATCTTAGTGAATTAAATTGCAATTAATAAGTCTGCAGTAAAGTCTTAAAATAACTTTAGGAGTGCAAGTTGTTATAGGACCTCTTTCTTGAAGCTATTTTATTTTTTTATTTTTTTTTTCTTGAAGCTATTTTAAAGAGCTCAGGTAAACATGCTGAAATATTTACAAGAATGAAAACTTTAAAATATTAACTAGTGTAATTTGGATTAATTGTATACTCTGTGGCAGTGACAAGCTACTTTTGATATGCTTAACATTACCTATTTTATCATCTGTTGTGATATGAGTATTTGGGAGAATTGAAAGCAGTTTTGATCTCTACCTTATTCCTTCAGATCCTTTGTGTGTGTGTGTGTGTGTGTGTGTTTTAAATTTTTTATTATGCCTTTAGCCTTTCTAATATGACTTTAGAAGTCTTCAAGTATTTTGTAGTCTGATTTTTAAAAAATACAAATGGGAGGTATATGTTCTTATTTTTTCCCGGGGTGGGTGTCTTGGTTAAGGGTCCAGCTCTTGATTTTGGCTCTGGTCATGATCTCAGGGTTATGAGATTACATACAACACCCAGTGCTCATCACATCCCTAAGTGCCCTCCTTAATGCCCATCACCCAGTTACCTTATCCCCCCCTTAAAATAAATAAATCTTTTTTTAAAGTTCTTATTCCCCCCCTCCAAAATGCAAGGGAGTAATAATAAATAAATAAAAATAGATAAAAAAAATTAAAAAGAAAGAGAGAAAGTAAAAACAAATGTATTTGCAGGATTTAAAAAGTGATTTAACTATTTGGTTGTTTCTGTTTTATTTTATAAAAGAGGAAGAGAGAGGATAATGGAGATGAGATTTGGTTGTAATAAGGAAAACTAAAGTAAGCAAAGGATCAAGGTAGGAAAAAGGAAAGAAGGAAATAAACCAGGAAAAGGCAGTTACCAGGAATAATAACAATGAACTTTACTTTCATTTATTTCCAGTCTAAAACTCTTAATCTCGGGATCCCTGGGTGGCGCAGCGGTTTGGCGCCTGCCTTTGGCCCAGGGCGCGATCCTGGAGACCCGGGATCGAGTCCCGCGTCGGGCTCCCGGTGCATGGAGCCTGCTTCTCCATCTGCCTGTGTCTCTGCCTCTCTCTCCTCTCTCTGTGACTGTCATAAATAAAAAAAAATAAAAAAAAATAAAATAAAAAAATAAAACTCTTAATCTCTGCGGGTATTCAGTGGGTTGAAACATAGTTTCAGCTTTGAAAAATCAAAGTAAGAGTCAACTAGGTTAGCCACAGAGTAGTTATATGTGATTAAATTTCAGCCAGTAGTAGTGAGAAGTTTTTTTGTCATTTATTTAAAAACTTTATTGAGGTATAATTGATTAAAAAAAACTACACATAGTTAATATATACAATTTGATGAGTTTGGACCTACACACCTGTGAAACCATCATTGTAACCATCACCAAATCTATCACCTCCAAGTTTCCTTGTGCCTCTTCGCATTTTTTTATTGTTTGTTTTGTGGTAAGATCATTTAACCTGAGATCTGCCCTCCTAACAAAAGTTTTAAAAGCACAATAGAATAGTATTAACAATAGGCACTATGTGGTACAGTGGATCTCTATAACTTTTTCATCTTACAATCTGAAACTTTATACCTATTAAACAAAAATTCTCTATTTACTCCTCCCCTTGGCCCTCCGGCAACCAGCATTCTACTCTCTGCTACTGTGAGTTTGATTATTTTGGATACCTCAAATATATGGAATCATGTAGTTTTCATCTTTCTATAACTGGCTTACTTCACTTACGACTTCCTGTTTTTCAGGCTGAATAATAGAGAGAGAGAGAGAACGCTATAATATAGATAGATAGGGGGGATCCCTGGGTGGCTCAGTGGTTTCGTGCCTGCCTTTGGCCCAGGGCGCGATCCTGGAGTCCTGGGATCGAGTGCCGTGTCGGGCTCCTGGCATGGAGCCTGCTTCTCCCTCTGCCTGTCTCTCTCTCTCTCTCTCTCGATCATAAATAAAAATAAATTAAAAAAATATATATATATAGATAGACAGGTATATTATATCTGGACTTCTAGGTTGATTCTGTTATCTTGGCTGTTGTAAATAATGCTGCAATGAACATGATAGTGCAGACATCTTTTCCAGATCCTGATCTTAGTTCTTTTGGATTTATACCCAGAAGTGGGATTGCTGGATAATATGATAATGGGAAGTTTTGATGACATAGCATCTACATCTCTATGTAGGGAAAGCTCAGTTTCCAGCAGCTAGTACTCAAACAGCAAACATTTGGATGGACCTTAATGGGTCAGAGTTGGAGCTTTTTTTTCTCCTTTTTTGTGGTGGTGTTATTCATAAGGGAAAAATAGTCTTGTGTTACCAGCTAATTGTTTCACTCCTTTGTCTCGTTTTCCGTATCTATCTTCTAGACAGATTCTGAAAAAGAGATTGGATAGTGGAAGAAAGGTTTTAAATTGTTTTCTGGCATCTGTCAGGGGGACTTGGGTAGGGCATATCTTTTGGCTGTTCTTATAAACACTTGTTAGCAGAGGGCTAATGAGGCTAGTAGTTAGATACCCCAATCATGTCCTATGCTATATTCTAAAGCTTGACTCTAAACAATCATATCAAATATGTACCTTTGGATATGAGGATAAATGAACACAAACCTACCCCATTCCGAGAAGTGTCCAGAGTGTATACCATGTCCTCCATCTTTACAGAAAACGGACACCCCATTGCCCAAATTGGAAACCATAGAAAATGCTTCAAGCTAATCAAACATTCCTCAATCAGTTTTCTAGTCACCTAACCAATCAACTCGTTGGCTTTATTCTCTCCAAAATAGACATCATTAATCAGAATTGCACCTTCTCACCTATGAGCTAACATGATTCAGTGATTTCTGCTGGCTTTTTTTCCCTCATGCCTATGGCCCCATTCATTTGGATCTCTGAAATGATGTTGTTTATATTACAGAGCTCTCATTTGGAAGACAGTGAATCAGCAGTGTTACTTTGCCGTGAATGTGAAGAATCAGATATCTTTAGTGGTTCCAATGTACGTAGGTATATGTTTTATACAGCCTTTGGTATTTCAAGTGAAAGCTTTTTAGATGAATCTGGCTCTTAAATGCAACTGAAATAGCACCTATTATTTCATCTATTTGGTGTCACTCAGCCAAATATATAGTAAGTTACTTAGAATGAGTATATATATATATATAAATAGTATGGTATATATGTATGCATAGTAATCTCCACTCAAGGTGGATCTATAAAGTAGAAAGATATTGTATCCTGGAACTTTGAGTAAGTTCTCCCTCAACAAAGGATGATTGTTTTGTGGGTTTTTACATTTTTTAATTGTCAATAGTTTCCCTTTCCCCATGGCAATTGCTTGGTATTAGTGCTGTCACTGGACCTTTATACCCCACATACATAAACCTAACACATCCTGGTTGTTGATAATGTTAAGCTATACAATATTATAATTACTGGGTCATTTCAAATGTGGAGCTATCTAACTACATTTCATGAGATGTTATAGATTTTATTTATCTGGCCTGATCCCCAACATAATTGCTTGATTATTGCAAATTACCTGTGCAATCAGGCTGAAATTAGAGGACTTAAACTGACTTTTTTTTTAAGGTTTTATTTATTTATTTGAGGAGAAGAGAGAGAGCACAAGGGGGGCGGGCAGAGGGAGAAGGAAGAACAGGCTCCCCGCTGAGCAAGGAGCCTAAGGTGGGCTTGATGCCAGGATGCTAGGATCAAGACCTGAGCTGAAGGCAGACGCTCAATCGACTGAGCCACTCAGGTGCCCTTAAATTGACTTTTAACAAATGTAAATCTCTTCCAACAGGATAACTACCTTTGCTAGCCATGGCTAAAACTGGGTTCTACAAACCTTGATGATAAAATCTGGATTCTGTCTGTTTCAGGATGTTTACTGTTCACAGTAGGCATTTTATAAATATTGTTAAAGTTTCACCAATGGAAACTTTATTTCTCGAAGTGAGCTGTGCCTCTTCAGTATATCACCATAGTACTGCCTACTTGTAGACTGTCTTCTTTACTTCACCTTCATTGCACAAAGAAGGTGATCACTATTTCAGGACCTCATTCAACTATTACATTGACTTACCTGGTTGCACTTCATTCAGCATTGATGATGAATGCGGAATGGCAGGAAGTTAGTTATTGTGACTCACTCACTAATAGCTAGAGCTGTACTCATTTCCTAGTGTTTGAAAACATTAACTTAGGAATTCACATGAACACTTATTTATTATCAACATTTTGTAGATGACAGACTGGGGATGGAAAGGTTATAGTCTTTGCCCAGTGTTGTATGATAAGCAGGGGCAGCACTGACACCAGATCTTGGCTGACACCCATCAGTGATCTCATTGTCAGCAGGTAACATTGTCATTGATAGAATATATGCCAAGGCTCTTTATATAGTTTCCTCAAGATTTATTTGGTTCAGTCAGCAGTGGCATCCTCTCTATCAGACTGGCTTATTTTTTGGCTGATTTCATCTTAAAGAAACCAGTACATGGCAAGCAATATGAAGAATATTTTTATGAAGTTGTACACATGGAGAAAAGATAACTCTACTTTTAGTGGGTCTCTGAGAAACTATTAGTTGGGTATATGTATTTGCAGATTATTCTGGATTGCTTTATTTAATTGCCAGACCTTTCATTCATTTAAGTTAGGTTTGTTGTCTTTTCCTCTTCATAAGGCCAAAGTGGTTACACGTACTGGCTGGCTTTTAAAAAGTATTGGATTCTCCTCCTGATTTGTTTGGTTGGGGAGTACGTCCCATATGTCTTTTTCCCTTTCCTTAGCTCCCCATCCCCACCCTCACATTAAAAAAGATTGAAGAGCTCCTTCCCAGTTTGAAGGCTTACACTTGAAAACCAAACTGGAGAGTAAACTGATTGAAAGACCCATTTTGAATTTTCTTCAAAGGAAATGGCATGGGATCTTGATAACTGTTTGAAATAGAAGTTAACTGTCATAAAGAAGAGTAGGAGGTAAAGTTAATCACTGAAGGACTTTCTCTTCAATCTCAGGATAACCGAATTCTAAACTTTGGTTGGCTGTATTCACTCATTCACTTACACACACGTGCATGTATTCATTCCTTTATTCTCCAAGCATTGATTGACTGTCATGCACTAATCACTGGGCCCAGGGCTATGGAGGTTAGGCATAAAGTATAGAATCTACCCTAACACCAAACTTTCAACTATAGGATGCACAAGGTCTGATGATCTAATGTAAGACATGGTGACTATAGTTGATAACATTGCATTTTATAATTGATATTGCTAAAAAAGCAGAACCTAAATGTTTTAATACAGAAGATAAATATGTGAAGTGATGACTATATTAATTAACCAGATGGGGAGAATCTTTTCACAGTGTATATGTATATCAAATCACCATGATGTACACTTTAAAATCTTACCAATTTCATTTGTCAATTATACCTCAATAAAGCTGAATTTTTAAAAATTTATTTTATTTTATTTTTTTAAAGAATCTACCCTGGGAGAACTGTACACTCTATGCTTCAACAACTTAGTTTTACGGATATTCATAGAAGTTCTTAAAAAGGAGAGGAGAAAATCATTCATATGCAGTATATGAGGAGAAGAAAAGAAATACTTGAATGAGTGGAAGGAAACTTGACTGGAGGCAAAGAAGGGATAAGCTCTTTCTCTGGAAGAGGACTGACTGACTGCCTTAGATCTCCTGGGGCTTTCTTGGAAGAGAGGGGAGGAATATAGAAAAGGCTTCTGCCTCTTCTCTGGGCCTATTCAGCCTCTAGGGAACCAGATAAAGAAAGGGTAGAGGCTGCTTCTTATTCCCTTTGCTGTGCACAGGGCTGTTGGAGGCCTCCATCATGGGAAAAGGGACTGTCTGCCCCAGAGCAGGGTTGACAATGTGACTGGCAAAGGCTGGAGAGGAAGAAGGTAGTGGCCCTCGCTGCAGGAGTTTCCCTTCGGCTTCAGATGAGAAAGATCATAGACAGTGACTAAAGCAGGTTGGGGTACTGGTGGCTGCAGTAGCCACTGAGACTCCTGAGAGTCCTCTTCACCCCTCATCCCAGACCTGCTGCTATTCTGCCTTAAAGGAGAAAAAGCTCTGTGTGAGCTGGAATTTTGATTATCATGTTTGTGAGGGTTCAATTAGAAACAAGTAAGTTCATTACCATTGCAGGCTTATATCCTCCCCAGCCTAGAGGTCAGGAAAATGCTTGTTACATTAGCTTATTTCCTCAAAACAGCTATTTCTTTCTCTCCTCTCCCTGCTTCTCTGATCCCACTCCCACCCTGCCAAACAGGAGGAGACACATGTAGATGGTCATACTATTTTTGTGGTCTGTTTCATTCCTTTGCCTGGATATTAAATCCTTGTAGAGAATGCATTTTCCTTTAATGCAATCAAAACAGCATTTTGTTTGATTAACGCAGTGAAAGGAAAGAGTGTTAGCCTTTTGTTATTAAAGAAAGAAAAAGGGCGCTTGGGTGGCTCAGTGGTTGAGCATCTGCCTTCGGCTCAGGGCATGATCTCAGTGACCTGAGATCGAGTCCCACATCGGGCTCCCTGCATGGAGCCTGCTTCTCCCTCTGCCCATTTCTCTGCCTCTCTCTCTGTGTCTCTCATAAATAAAGAAAAATCTTTAAAAAAAATTAAATAAAATAAAGAAAAAAAGAAAAGGCCACCCTTGAATCAAATGTTGAGAAGGCAGACAAAAAGAAAGGAAAATCTAAAATGTAAGGATTATTTGGCTTAGTATGCTTTACATTTTTAAACTGTAGATTTGTGTTCTTTTCTAGGGCAAGACAGGTGTCTCAGAACATACCAGTGTCCTTCTAGATGACAACTTCTGTGGAAGTTTTCTCTTGTAGTCATTTTATGGAGTGGAAGAATGACTTTGGAGAGAGAGAATGTTTAAATCTCACTAAGTTTAAGATAAAGAATTTAAAAATTGTAAAAAGTTATTAGCATTAAGATAAAGCAAGCGCTAATTCAAGGCCTGCTACTGAGTAGCCAGCCTATGGACTGAGAATAGAAGGGACTTTAATCTTCAGGATTCTCCTGAAGCATCTTATTTTTCTTGTATGTTTTAAGTCTTGGAACCTGGTATATGGGATGATCAAAACAATGACTGATTTATAAGCTTAGAAAGTAAAACTGTATTTAAAAGGGGAAAACTGCTATAGTCGTTAAACCTGCTTTTGTAAGACTCTAGAGATTGTGAGCAGACACACGCAGCACCTATATATTGTGGATAATCTACAGAAACAATGATAACCAAAGTAGTTGGCTGTAAGGTGGTGATGGTGTGTAGGCCGACAGTATGTGCATCTGGTTGTTTCTGATGATTTGTATTTATCTTCTTTCATTCTGCTCTTAGTACTATATTTTTTTTCCTTTTTTTCAGGTTCATTTGCAGAGATAATCATTTCACTGGACAACACAAATATAAAAAGCAAAAAAAAAGTAAATTTGTTGCTAAGAAGATGTGAGTTTTATTATGGGTTCCAAATGACCAGTTAGCCAACAGCAAACAGCTGTCCCACCAGAGTTGAGGATTATTTGAATTGTTTCTACATCACTTCTGCTGTGTAGTAGAGTGATTACTTATTAGGGCACCTGGTCAGAGAACAGGATAAAAGTGTTGCCGATAGCAAAAACATAGTTTCACCATGAATGGTATTCCTGTTTTTCCCTTTGGAGGGAGTCTGATCTAAATGAAGAAATTGGCAAAAGGCCTCCTGTGATGCCAAATTTATTTTTCTTTGTTCCAGAATAAGATATAATCAGAAAGCATACCTCAACTATTTTATCTTAGAATAACAAATGAGAAATAATTTTCAACTTTTCCTTTTTAAAATCTTACCTGCGTGAGTGGACTTAATTGAGGGAAAATGAGATTTGTAGTAATCTTAGATATACAGAGGCTATTTTTAAAATTACCCTTATTGTTTAACTCTGTACATCTCATTATGTCTGAGATGTACACTAGTACATCAC